AAGAGCTCAGGCCATGCTGCTCCAAAGTAATATCATGATCAGGGAGCTGCATATATGAACAAAAGATTAAGGAGCAGAGCTCACAACTGCCATGCACATTAAAAGGAAGCACACACAACTAGACAGATGCTTGCACACAATGAGTGAAACAACTGAACAAGCAGGACCCATCCAATGAAGCAATCATAGGCTAAACGATATGATCAATAAGCAAAACAAAGTAACATGAAACTTCATGAAGAAAGATACTTTTGGGTTCACAAATTTTCCCAATGATTTTGTATAACTAAAGTTGTACTGCTGAAAGGATATGCTGCTGTGAGAGCATCTCCAAGAGGCTCAATGAACTGGCCTTCTTAGCTATTTTACATAGGCAGACCATAAAACTGAACTCCAACAGGCTAGCTATCACACTATGTATTTTCCATAGCCTTCATTTGGCTGGCTATCTCTGGCGAGGCGGTGGAGCTCGCTAGTTTGTCTTTGCGCCAACAACACCCCCAATTGCAGAAGGTTACTAATGAAGGCTTTTTGGCACAACACCCCCCAGGAACTGTGAAGGCTTCATCGCATAAGGCTTGCTCCACCGACTGAAACAGGGAGGGCCAAAGCTCAAAAACGCTATAGGAACAAAGCAACTCAACACCATCCAATCCTCTAAGTTCTTGTACAATTCGGTAAATTTCGAACTCGAAATTGTCTGTATTTCACTATTAGGTTCAATGATTCATGTAATCTCCCAAAATCTACGACGTGTAAACCTAGGGTTTCAAGCACCATCAATGGCTCTTTGTTCTCAGCACCATATCTCAGAATTTGGAATGGCGAAAATTCAACAAACCCACAATCTCTCACCCCCTCTTTCCTCTTAAATTCATGTGGGTTTTCCTCAGAATCAGCTAGTTCAACTTGTAGGAAGCTCAGCAAACCCCCCTCAAAATGCAGTAAACTCCTCCAAAGATTCAGCAAAAGCTGCAAAGCCTCCTAAAAAATCCAGCAAAACCCCCCAAGTATTTTATGATATTTACTCTTGTAGTCCATTTTTTATGATATTTATTCTTGTAGCCCATAATTGATTAAATTTATATAATATATAGTTGAATTGTTATTTTTTGAATTTTATTATTGAAAGTTAGTTGAAGTGGTTAGCTAAAATAGATAACGTTATTAGAATGAATTTGAAAAAGTGGTTAGTTAAAGTAGATAATACAATATTTAAATATATTTTGAGTAGCTATTTTAGATAATATTGTTGGAGTTGCTCTGAAATAAAAGACACATATGTCAAATTGTAAATGTTGTCACATTAAAATTAAATTTGACAGAGAAATTTCAAATTTTAGAATAATCAAACTGAATGGAAAAAAAAAAAAGAAAGGGAAAGGCAAACAATACTTTACACACAAATAGCAGAACAGGAAAACAACCAAACTTGTGGGCAGTACTAGTATACAGATTAAGGAGTTTGGACTTGAACTCTTGACATGCTTGCCTTATGAAAGAGCATAGCCCTGGTTCGGCGTTCCTCCCTCTCGCCATGCCTTTCTGTGCTCAACAATAAGGAGGTTGAGGAAGTCAGAGATAGCTGTGAGCATAAGCCGAACGAATAAAGTGATTTGTCCAAGAAATGCTTAGTGACATCTTTAAATGTGGGCAGCTCCCATTCGTCCCCACTGTACACTTCAGCTTTAATTTTAGATACTAATTTCTTTGGACGAAATTGCGTAATTAGTCCGAGCCACCTACACATCCACAGGTTATAAACACAAGACTAGTATGTCAGCTATGAATATTTGAATTATAATTCGAGAGCAAAGCTGTAAAATAGCCACTTGAGAAATCTCATTTCGGTTGCTAATCAAGTTCCACAAGTAATACTCCTGTTATTGTTTAACTTCCATCTTTTACAATTCTCTCTCTGTTTTCAAATCTTTCAGTTTTCCCTCCTCTTTATCTCTCTAGCACTGATAAAGATTATACGGTCCCTGCTATTATCGAACTACATGGGTCTCCAGTTAACAGTTAGGAATGCCTGGTTTAAGCAAAAAGACTCAAAAAAAGAAACAAACAGGCTTATCAAGCCCATTACAGCACCTTAAACATTAGCCAACAACATCATATACACACAAAAGATTAGGCAAGTTTTCTCTCCTAAACCAAGCATAAAATAGAATCTCTCATAGAATCATATACAATAAACAACGATAGAGTGACACCAAAAGATGAAAAGGGTATTTAAATTACCAGTTGGCTGTGATTGTTTTGAACAAGAGAGACTGGAGGGAGAAAGAACCCAACTCGTTCTGGGTAGCCGGAGAGTAAGAGGGTATAATACCCAGAGGAAACCCATTACCCAGAAGCGAAAGCTGTTGAATTCTGAGTGCTCGGCTGGCTCGAGACCCATCAAGAGGGAATGGCTCCCCGGGGATAGACCGAGCAGTTGCGTCTACGGTTTGTGGGGTGGCAATGTTTTGGTCCCAAAAGGCCGAGTCCATGGCTGTTCTCAGGTTCGCCATTTTCAGGCCGGTTTGGTGAGGTCTGACCGTCTGAGGGGGGTGTGGTCTTATCTACGAGTAGGGTAATTTTGAAAATGGAAGGGAGGGTTTGGGGTTTTGGGCATTTTGGGGGTTTTGTTTGTTTGTTTGTCTATTTATGTTTGTTTGTTTATTTTCGTCCCTAAATTCTTAAAATTTACATATTGTCCCTTAATTACTTGAATTATTTCATATTGTTCCAAATACAAATATCCTTGATTTTTTTGAAAGAAAATTACTAACGTGTCAAAAGAAAGTGAAAAAATTCACATAGTTCGGGGGAGAAAATGGTCCATTTGGAATTGACTTTTTTAGCGTGAAACAGAAGTTTGAAAAGTTAAATTAAAAAGTCAGTGCTAGAAAAACTCTTAAAACTATTTGGAGTGTTTTCGAATAAGTCGATTTTTTCTTGAATAAACCAATTTTTTTCTTGGTATTGATAAAAGTTATTTTTACTCAAAAGCTGAAGAAAAAATCGCTCAATAAATTTAAGTCTAAATGGACTAGGTTTTTTTTCCTTTGAATACTCTAAACTTCAAACAGACCCAATATAAAAATTTATCAAATTTACAATTGACGATTACCATTTGGATAATATGAATCTAATCACATAGTAAAATATGTATTGTGCAAAATATGATAATTAAAGAAATACTAAAAAAAAGTCAAAATTGAGGGGTTAAATATAATTTACCTTTATTTGTTCGCTTTAATTGCTAATTGGCCTTTGTAATGGACTTATACGCTGGCACTAGTAATTTGACATTTTGCTTTTGGAGCTATTTGAGAGAGGAAGTATATATCTCTGGGATGTGGATAGGGCTCATAATCAAGCCGAAGTTTGTAAGTTAGTTTGCAAGTTCGAGACTTCAAGTTGAGTTTTTTAAAGTTTGTTTAAAAAAATTATTCGGATCGAATCTTATATGAATTGAAATCAAGTTAAGTCCGACTAATTTGACTCAATCATCTGTAGATTTATGGAACTTTTTGTGATATGAACACATTGGGTTGTTTTATTTTCCTACTAGGGGCAATCTATGCATTGTCATAGTACAACGTAAATAACTTTGAAAAAGATGTTAGTGGTTGTTGGATGAGTCTATTTGAAATCGGATAAATTTATTGAAGATTATCCAGTTTTATATTATAGATTATAGATCCTCTTGCCTTTTTATTTTGGGTTAATACTACTTTTAATTTTTAAAATATGTATGTTTTTGTTAATTTGATCCTTAAAATATTAATTTTATCAATTTAATCCATAAAATATTCTATTCATATTTAAATGATTTTTACATAGACGGTCTATTAAATTTTTAACGGAATGATCACAAATAAGACATGTGATATCATTTGAAATAATCACACATGTTAAAAAATTTAATGAATTATCTGATTAATAATCAAAATAATACAAATTAAAACTTTAAGAATCAAATTGACAAAATTAATATAATAAGTACCAAACTGACAAAATCGACATATTTTAAAAACTAAAAATACTATTAACCCTTCTATTTTAAGAAAACTTTTTTATAAACACCTTTAATAGACTAAATCTACTGCCATACAATTTAAGAAAACCAGGAAGTCTTCTCTACCGAGATAACTAATTTAAATAATAAATTAATTATAATATAGCAATGTCCTAGTTGAACTAGGATTGAATGACTACTTTATGATTAGGTTAATAAATTAGGTAGGGGGCCGTTAATGGAGTTTTTGGGCTCTGAGACTAAGTCATCATGTATTGGTGATTCTTCTTCTATGGATGAACATTCCAGGATCAGTTCTAATGAAAACAGTGATGGGTTTTCTCGAATCAAATCAAAAAAACCAATCACCAGGAAGACGATCAAACATTCGACAAAACGAAAAAGACTCGAATGGCTTCCTGCTGTCCCTAGTTTGGTTCCTGAACCTGAGTTTTGCCCTGAAGCAATCACTGAATACACGTCTAAGTTGGACAAGTCTTCAAGCTCTTTGGCATTGAAGGCAAGGAAACATCTTTCATATTTGGGATGGAAGATCGAGTTTGTGAGAGACAATGACAAGCCAAGACTACGATATATTTCACATGATGGCAAGTGTTACCTTTCGCTTCGCCAGCTCTGTCTCAATTTGAGGGACACTGGTTCAGTTTTGATTTCCCAGGATGATCATAGCAGTTCTGTTCCTTCTTGTGGTGGTTGGGTCTCATCGCCACTACTAAGTACTAAAAAACCATTACCATGCAAGGAGGAACCAGTACCACCCAAGGCCAATGTGGTTTCTCATTTAAATGGAGTTGTGGTTGAGCCTGAGTACTGTCCTCAGGCAGTAGAGGAGTATTATTTGGCAGGATCAGAGGACAAAAATGGCGGTCGTGTGTTGAACAGAGATGTTAAGATTGGGGGTGTGAGTATGATATTGAAAGCAAAGAAGCACTTGTCAGCTATCGGGTGGTCGTTTCATTATGTCAAGAAGAGAGGTGGCAGGGAATTGAGGTACTGTTGTCCCGATGGAAGAGTGTTTTATTCTCTTAGAACAGCCTGCAAATTCTGTATAGATGAAGGGGGACACTCTAGTTCTGATACGAAGGTTCATAATTCTGAAAGAAGAGAAAACATTAATGTCAGCAAGGAAGCTATGAACCAGTTAGCTGTTGAGGGATCATCGACTCCAGGAATGGAAAGTCAGGGAAGTTTGGTAGCTGCTGAGAGATCATTGACTCCAGGAGTGGGAATGCGGGGAAGTTTGGTGGCTGTTGAAGGATCATCACCACCACGAATGGAAATTGAGGGAAGTTCTGTATCAGAGGATGCAATCCCGGAGAAGCAGGCAACAGATTCTTCTTGTAAACGACTGTCAATGGAACTTGATGAACTTGGTAATGTCAAAGGAATTAAAAAACCCGAAAAAAGAATAAAAATTGGTGTACTAAAGTCTGCATTTCCCTTCAAACAAACAATCACAAATGGTGATTCAACACTGGAGAGGAAAGGAAAGGAATCTAAAGCTTCGATCAAACAAAGACACAACATGGATGGTGATTTTTCTGCTTTTGTGGTGCCACGGGAGGTGGCTGTTCCTTCTTCCTCTCACCACCACACCCCTAGGACTGTATTGTCATGGTTAATAGACAATAATGTGGTTTTGCCCTGGGCCAAAGTATGTTATCGTGGCAGAAAGGATGGTCTTCCAATGGCAAAAGGGCAAATTACTCGTGATGGGATCAATTGCAGTTGCTGTCAAAAAGTTTTTACTCTTAGTAAGTTTGAAGCTCATGCTGGTAGTACTAATCACAGACCTTCAGCCAATATTTTTTTAGAGGATGGCAGGTCACTGCAGCAATGCCAATTGCAGTTGAAACTTGATAATAATCAGAGAAGTGTAATGAGAGAACCCCCTGAGATGAAGGGTACTTGGCATGACAGCTCAAATGATTATATCTGTTCTGTTTGTCACGAAGGCGGTGAATTGATTTTATGTGATCAGTGCCCATCCGCGTTTCATACAAGTTGCCTCGGTTTGAAGGATGTTCCTGATGGAGACTGGTTCTGCCCACCATGCTGCTGTGGAATTTGTGGTAAAGGCAGATTCAATAAGGACAGTGAACGATTTACATTCAATACTGTTCTCAGTTGTGATCAGTGTGGGCACCAATATCACATAGGGTGCCTAAGAAAAAAGGGTATTGTAAAGGTGTATTGGAGTAAGAAAAAAAATTGGTTTTGTACTCAAAAATGTGAACAGGTGTTTTTGGGGCTGCACAGGCTTTTGGGGAAACCAGTTCCAGTTGGGGAGGATAATTTAACTTGGACTTTAATGAAATATGTGGAGTCTGGTGGTTGTGGCCATGGTGCTTCTGATATTGAGGCTTCCATGGAGAATTACAGCAAACTCAATTTTGCTCTTGGAGTGATGCATGAGTGTTTCGAGCCTGTCAAGGAGCCTCGAACCAGGAGGGATCTCGTTGAAGATGTGATTTTCAGTAGAGAGTCGGAGCTGAATCGTTTGAACTTCCGAGGATTCTATACAGTGGTTTTGGAGAGAAACGATGAGCTGATTACAGTGGCTACTGTCAGGGTGTTTGGCGAAAAGGTTGCAGAAGTACCACTTGTTGCTACACGGTTTAAATATCGTAGACTTGGAATGTGTCGAATTCTGATGAATGAGCTTGAAAAGCAACTCAAGGAATTAGGTGTGGAGAGGCTGACTCTGCCTGCTATTCCTGGTGTGTTGAACACATGGACCAGTTCATTCGGGTTTTCGAGGATGACAGAGTCCCAGAGATTACGCTTGCTAGACTACACTTTCCTCAATTTCCAGGGTACCACAATGTGCCAAAAACTGCTACTGGAAAATCCTTCCAAAAGGATTAGGCCTAGCAAAAGGAATCAAGAACAAAGTTCATGATCATGGTAGCAATGGGATAGTATAAGTTAGAGTTCTTCAATTATTTTGATGACTTCTATTTTAATTCTTAATTAGTCTTAATCACATTCTTCTTCTCCACTCTGTGGTTCACCAAAGGGGAGAGATCGAGCTTCAAGAATAATGAACTATGTTATCAATACATAAATGTATAACTCCCAAGGATTTCAATTGCGCTCATATATGTAGGAATTGGGTTCAAGCTTTCACGTGTCCTTCTCATCTATGGACTCTTGGTGAATACCGGTTCGTTCAATAAATTCCTACCTCTCTATCTATCTGTGAGATGTTTGGATTTTTCAAAACGCTATGGGCATGTCTGAAAATCTTATTCCAACTGTTCTATCTTATTTTCTTATCAAATCAATGGAAAAACTAATTGTGAGTCAGTCAAAACTATTACTTTTTACCTTTTTTTCTGTACAGTTGATGCTACTATCCAATAATGATGGAGAAAAAGTCATTTAGTTATGACTCAACGGGATCAAGTTATAGGATGGATTCAAAAAACTTGGAGATTGATCCCAGCTTTTTAAGTGCAGTCTTGTGTTTTTTTTTTCTTCAGATCAATCCCTAATTTTTCGAATCTTATTGAGTTCTAAAGTGAAACATACTATGACCGTAACTTGACGTTCTGAATTCTTTTGGGACACAATTCCCCCCCCCCAAACACAGGCAGATAAAGTGGCAATCTTTATAGTCAGATGGCCAGGTTTTTGATATCCCTCCCAAGCCAGTATTACTTTGGTTTTAAGTTAGAATGAAATCAGATGATGCGACAAGATATGTGAAAGGAAGAGACTTTTCATTTGCATAAAGGTAAATGAGAGAGAAGAGAGCACAAACCTGTCTTGACAAACACCCAGTTTAGTAACCTGGACACGAGCTCAAAGCAACCTCAAACTAGAAATCATAAAAAACCAAGAAAAAAACCCCCAATAAATTTGGCACTTATAAATAGTGTTGTTACTCGAGACGAACTATTCGGCAACGGTTCGGATAAGATTTGGTTCGAACTCTCGAAGTTCAGTTCATTTATATGCAAAATAGTCGAACTACTCGGACTCGGGTTCGGCTCGTTTTCTAAATAAGTTGAATTTGAATAATTTTTTAGACTCGTTTAAAAAAAAGAACTCAACCTCAAACTCGTAAACCTCGGCTCAATTACCCCCTTACTTGTAAGTGGTAAAACTGGGGTGGTTCCAATGGTTCTCAATCTCACCCAGACTACCCACAAAGAGCTTAAACCCTTAACCTTCCCCCACCGGAAGGTTGAAGTCTTACCAGTTGGAAATCTTGGATTGTGTCATTTGTAGTTGTTGTGCACGAGACTAACAAACAAATCGCAAAACTAAATAAGAAAATAAAGAACATGTTTTCAATTTGAAAGTTTTTGTTGATGAAAGTTTTACGATACTTATTAATCGTGTTATTCATGTCTAAATTTAAATTGATCAATTTATTAGTTGAGTTCGTGTCGTGTTGAAGTTGGAGCAAATGATCTGTAAAACAATAAAGATGCCAACTAATTTTCCTTGTCAACAAGAAATTGCTAACAAACCCATAAAGATATGCATGTCAGCACCACAAGAATGTTCAAAGTATAATGTCAGCAACAACAGAATGGATTGTTACTAAAGTCTAAGGCAGTTATCTTCAAAGACTCTTCTGATTATTTTTAGTGTATATTAATATTTTACATCACATGATTTGAGTCATATGACCTTTTACTTCCCTATATTTTAGAAATTTACACAGCATCCCTTCAAGTTTAGGACTATAGTGCATCCGTTAGCCGAACCGAGTTAACGATTTAGTATGAAAATTTAAAATACCCTCATCAATTTTCTTCTTCCTAAAGATTATACAAATTGAAAATTCTACACAATGCATAGAAAGGAGAGAGAGAGGTAGAGTGAGAAGTGACCGGTTTGTTATAGATGGAGAAAGAGAAAGCCAAAAAAAAATTATGATGGTATAAAAGTCATTTTGACATTTAATCAATAATATGTACTGCAAATTTTGGCAAAATTCTTAACACGGTTTCAGTTTGATTCAAAACTATTAGGATATATGTGCAAGTTTCTAAAGTATAAGGGGTTAACATAATAATTAATCAAACCTGATCATAATAAATATTTTTTTCAGTTAATAGCACTTTTAGTCCTTAAAGTGTGCATATTTTGTCAATTTGATCTTTGAAGTTTCAATTTTATCCCTAAATTATTCAATTTGTGTTTAAATGGTTTTTACATAGATATACCATTAAATGTTTGACGGAATGATCACATGTTGGGATGACAAAAAAATAATCACGTGTTTGACACGTAATAATGTTTGAAAGAGTAATACGTGGTCACTTCAGTTAAAAAGCTTATCGTCTGATTAAGAACTGAAGTTACACGAGTTGAAACTTTAAGAACAAATTGACAAAATTAATATAATGAAACTAAGTTGACAATCGGATATACTTTAGAGATTAAAAGTGCTATTACCCCTCTTCTTTATTTTTATCAAGATTTTCCAACAGTTCATATCAAGCCATTCCTTCACAACTATAAATCATCTTCAAGTGAAAAAAACAACTCCACACTATTCCTCTACAAAATGAGGCCTCCCTTCTCTCTCTTCCCCTCTTTTCTCTTTCTCTTCTTGCTTGCCATCCATGTCTCAACAGCCAAGAACCTCATTCACGACACTTGCAAAAGCATTGCCCAAAATGATCCAAACATCAACTACAATTTCTGTACAACTTCCCTTCAAGCAGCCCCTGCAAGCCAATGTGCTGGTCTTCGCGGTCTTGGGATGATCTCAATCCGTTTAATTCGATACAATCTCACTGATACAAGGTGCAAGATCAAACACTTGTTGCAGATCAAGAAACTCGATCCGTTCGTCCGGGCGTGCTTGGATGATTGCTATGAGCTTTATGATGATGCAATACCTTCTATTAAACAGGCAATGAAACATTACAATTCTAAGCAGTTTGTTGATGCTAATATGGCAATTGGCTCAGTTTTGGATGCTGCAAGTACTTGTGAAGATGGGTTTAAGGACAAGAAAGGTGTCGTTTCTCCGTTAACGAAACGGAATAACGATACGTTTCAGTTATCCGCCTTGGCACTTTCTGCTATGCAAATTATACAGACAAGCTTACACTAACGGTGGTTTTTTTTTTTTTTTTTTTCTTTTGGTTTTTATGCATTGGTGATCATGGGTGGAGCCAATTCCAAGGTCCAGGGGTGGTTCTAGGCCCAGCCTTCACTTTTTTTTTAATGTATGCTAAATCTTATTATTTTTAACAACATTATATTTTATTGAACACGCTATTATTTTCTTGTCGTATCAATTAGTACACTCAAAAAGGATGAATGTTTATCCTCTAACGTCCCATATCATACAAGCGCGTTATCGGTAAGATACATCTTAAATTCCTTATCTACTGTTGGAGTCATCATTATTGGGATGTTCGGTAAGGTCTCCTTGATTTTCGCAAAGGCTTGTTGATAGACTTCTTTTTATTTGTATTCCACCATTGTATACCCTCTATCTCTCACGCGACAGTCATTGTAGAGTGGATATTTTCAACGACGAAGTTAGCGAGGAATCAATAGTAAAAAAGAATGGTTGACCTATAAATGACTAATAACTAGCTTGTTTATATCACGAATGTTGTAATCAACCTCATTTTTGTTTGTTGTAAACAGTTGTAATTAGATTTTTCTTCTTGTTTTTTTTTTGTTTGTACACATCAAGGATACTGGTTTTTAGTCTTTTTGTGTTAAAAGGATCTTAAAGAGTCCAATATGGTGTAAATAATACAAATGGATCAGCTTAGTTTTATCGGTTTAGCAAAACTTTAAACTTATAGATAAATCACTATAAAAATAAGGGTCTTTTGAGACTAGTTTTTTTGTGGCGACAGAACTATCAAAAACAAGTATGTTTTGGAGAATTTTTTTTTTTTTTTGGTGTGACGGAAGTGTTATCATAAAAAATTTATTTGTTGTCGCAAATACTATCTGAGACTCCACTTATTATGGTGAGATATGTCATACGACAAGGGTGAAGTTTCAAAAAGTCTTTGTGACGACAACAACCAGTTTCAAATATTATTTGTGATAACAAATAAATTTTTTATGACATCACTATTGCCAACAAAAAAAAAAAATTTATACAAAATATGTTTTTTTGTGACTGTAAACACTCCCGCCACAAAAAAACTTATCATAAAAGACCTTAATTCTTGTAGTGAATTCTTGACTTCGTCCCGGTGGATGATGGTTATTCAATTTTTAATTTGGTTTGGAACTCCTTGTTCTAAACTCGTTATAGTTTTTCTTATCGTTCTGTTCACTTAGAGTGACATGTAAATGATGTAAGGTTAGGCCAAAGAATCACGGGGGAAGACAAAAACAAGTATACTTGGTTATTTATAAAAGCCACTTTTAGTCTTTGTTTTAATAAGCAAGTATACTTGCTTTATGTAAGTGCAACTTTTTTTCTTTGTTTTAAAGCAATATCAATGATAGAGTGACTTCTAATATATCTTTTGTCTTGGCCTATAGTGCTAAACTAACTACACCTTTTATATTATATACCTACTATATATATATATTGGTTCAACGGTCAAGAGTGTCCAGACAAACTTTCATGCGTTTCGATTAATTCTCTCCCAGTCTGGTCAAAGACAGGTGAACTTCGTCAGAATTCGAACTCAAGATATTTGGGTTTACAACTTGTTCTTGTTATTACTTAAACTACCTCTTGAATGAATAATTTTCCAATATTAAAGATTAGAAGTTGGGGTGATTTTTATATAATGGTAACTACTTGAATTTGAAATATTATACTTAGAAAATATGGTAATTTTCATGTTACATCGCCAAGTGCTTCGGTCATTTGAGATGGCGTTTGGGTTTAGCATTGAACCCTATGTTAGTTGAACGTAGTTACTTTTCTCTTTCTCATCTTGCCTTTTGGGAAAAAAGACAGATGTTGGGATTACACTTCAGTACAGAAGTCATGATCTCACAAGGCCATCTTGTTGCATCAATTGTTAAACGTTGTCCATTCCATAGAAACCAATTAATATATTGAGCATTTACACCATAATAATTTTTTTCCAATATTTAGAGTATTTGATAGATTTGGATTCCCTTATTTTCAATTTTTGACAAAATTTCTTAGCCCACTCTTCCCATAGGACCCCCAAAAACCACTTGAGATTGTCTGATTGCCCTTTTGCTTGTTTCAGCTAAAAATCGGTTGTTTTTATATGGTCAAGAAAGTAACTAAATACTTCTATTAATTGTAATAAATAAACTTAGTTTGTGCACGTTTTGATACTTTCATAACAAAATTAATCTCTCAACGTTACAAAATTAAATGGGACCTATTCCCATTTCCATTGCCATTACATATGTTTTATATTGTTGTTACCAAAAATGAAAAGTAGTTCGGAGAAGGAAAGGTCAAGAATACATCCTACACCGAAAAAATGAGATCTTTCTTCTTTATTTTCTCTCTCCTTGTGTTCACCTTCCATGTTGCAATTGCTCGTAACGTGAACTATTAGTTCTGTAAAACCTCCCTCTTAGCCGCTCCAACCCACCAACGCACGAGCGTTCAAAAACTCGGGATAATCACACTCATTGAGAAAACCATGATGGAAGACATGACCTACATGAACAAACTCTTGAAGAAGAAGGGATTGAACAAAATCATCATGAACTCCATCACTGCATGCTCCGATCTCTATTCACAAACGCTCGATGATCTAGGTGACGCGATTTTGAACTATAAATCGAAGAATTTCCACGAGGTTAACCAAGATGTTAGCGCAGCAAGCACTACTGCTGCGAGGTGTGAAGATGGGTTTAGTGAGAGAGGAGTCATTTCGCCATTAACACAAAGAAATGATAAAATGGGTCAACTGTCTGCTATAGCATTGAACATTGTGAATTTGTATGCTCAAGTACAGTAATTTCATTCATGTATGAGAAATATATAAGAGGAGTCAATGGTCACAATGTCATGTTACAAATTGGAATATAAAGGGATGCAATGAATTGAAGGCCTACATGCATTACTGTACAGCATCATTTGAACTCAATTTATATGAGAATTGCAAATAAAATATACAACAACATGTTGAAGACAACCAGGTTTGCCAACAGATTTAAACCAATTCGAATTCGAATCCAAATCTGATTTAAAAACTCAACCCGAATTTGATTCAAATGTCCAAATATTGTATTGGTGATGCAATTCGTATAACTTGTTTAAAAAAACAAGTTGTATGGAATTAGATAAATTCTAATCAAGGGGTTTAACAAATTGCTCGGGTCAAATTCTTATGTAGAAGAAAAATAAAACATAAGTTTGACAAATTCCGCAGAGTATATTCGTAACATTTGACATAATTATCTTCATGACGTTACATAACCTATCAAACAAGCTGACGTTAAAATCTAAGTACAACGAAATATAAATTGATCGGTCATGTCAACCAATTCACAGCATTGAACATGTTAGCCTTAACAAAACCCATTAACTCTTGGCTAGCTTCAAATAATGTCAAAAATTATCACCCTTGTGCCCCTCTCAAAGATCTTACATCAAATAGTGAAAACCTACGAGGTACAGACACGAAATATCACAAAGTTTTAAAATATAAGATACAGGTACAGTAAGGATATAGCTATTAAAATAATATAATATATTTTTTAAATAATAATGAAGTTATAATATATTAAAAATAAAGAATATATTATATAATATTAATAATAAGATATAACAAATATTAATTTTTTCATTAATATTGAAATAGTTTAAAATAAATATACACCATTTTAATCAAATATCATTACATCTATTAACATTTATAGTATATAAGTTACATAACAAAAAATATATTAAAAAAATATAAGTCACATTTTTTAATAGTTAACAGTCATTTTTTAGGAAGAAAAAAAATTTTGGTCGTGTTCGACTGAGTTCATTATTCAGGATACTTCGAGCCATGTCCAACACGTGTCGGCTCATGTCCGATGAATGTTCATGTCTGACATTACCACGGCACCCCTCTGGAAAGTATCTTAGGTGAAAATAATTGAATAACAAAATTGTGGGAGTGGTGAGAAAGAATATAAATTTCCCATAATTACACATCTCATATAAGACTCTGCATTGAGAATTTAGTTATGTGCTTGCGAAAATTCAAAAAGTTCAACTCGATTAACAATTTACACCCCCCCAACCCTAACCCCAAAAGAACACGAATCAAAATGTATTAAGTATTCAAGATAGAGCGTCAATAAGTTGATTCTAGTTAGTCTAGCTCAAACTATTGTACGCCGTTGTCTCCAAATAAGTACATTCAAATATACCAATAAACTTTTGGTCTAATGATATTCTTTATTTTGTGAATATTTTATTTTTTTGAGATTAAGGGTTCCCCCCCCCCCCCCCAAAAAAAAAGTATATTCAAGTATATTCTGATATCCATCAACAATTGATTTGGTAAGCCATGAAATGATCACAATCAATGAGCTTCTGCTATACCAACCAACTAATAAATAGGTTATTTATGTAAAAAAACTGTTTCTTGGGTATTTACAAAGCAAATAAAAACTTCATAACTCTAATAAATATAATATCTGCAGTTTCAACACCTTTATGAACAATAATAACTATGTCAGCATTAAAAATGGAATGTTATATATAAGAAGAAATTTGTTCAACTTATGTACCAACCCATTCTTCCACATCAATAAGCTCTCTATTTAATAAACCAAGTACAAATTTTATACCTAGCAGGAAAATGAGGCCCTTCTTCTTCTTCCTCCCCCTCCTCTCTCTCCTTTCGTTTACGTTCCATCGCGTAACTGCTAATATCATTTACGAGACTTGTAGATCAGTATCAAAAGACAATCCAAACGTGAGCTATAGTTTCTGCAAAACCTCCCTTCTAGCCATTCCAGCCGCCCAGTGCAGTAACCTCCAGAAACTCAGGTTAGCATTGATCAACCTCATTCAGAAAAGCGTAGTTGACACCATGAGTGACATCAGCAAGACGCTGAAGACGAAGAAGAAGAAGGAGGTTTGAACAAAGACGTGACGAAATACAGCACTTCATGTCTTTGATATTTTTACACAATCAATGGATGATCTGAAGGACACAGTCGAAAACTAAAAGCCTAAGAAGTTTTATGATGTTAATCAAGTTACTATTTCCATTGGTAGGGCTGCTTCAAGCTGTGAAGATGGGTTTAAAGATGGAGGTGTGGCTTCTCCACTGCAGAAGAGGGATGATAGTACTAGTCAGTTGGCTGTTATAGCACTGAAAATTATTGATTTGTATGCTAAATCAAACTAAATTTAGGTGATATACATGGGGGGATAATGGGAAGTTCATTGTATTACTTTGACCCTGAGGCACCAAAAGAAACAAGTCATTGCTTCTGGTTCGACCTCTAAACATGAAAGAAAATACAAAAATATAAAGTTGACTCACGATCAGCTAAAAATGTTGGGTTACAATAAATGCAATCATTATGGTTTACTTATTAAATTACACATTTTCCTTTTTGGTATTGACAAGCAAATATAGCATAAAATCAATCCCAAGGGGATGGCAGAGGATGCTGGTTGCTTGTTTGAACCAGAAAAGAGGTCGATTGCCTACGCATCCATGAAGTTTGGAATCAGAATCACATAGTTCTTCTTCTACCCCAGCATCCTAAATCTCGAGGTCTAAAATTATCAGAAAGAGAAGCCATCAACAGAGTCGTTACTCAAACCACAATGAAGGTTTCACACCTACGTTGTTTCCAACTTATGCAGAGTAAGGCAAATGGGTAGCAATATCATGAGAATACGATGTTCATTTAACCATTCCAATCACTAATGCAAATGAAAAAGCAATGTGACTGATCCCCAAGGCCAACAAATGTGATCATAGTCCATCTTTCCATTCAAATAGCAGCATAACAAAATAAAGAGTACAAAGTTCTACAATCTACTCTTAATCAGACAGACTTCACTTATTTTGCATCCCTCTGGTGGGATCGACTTTTTGCAATCACCAAACCATCCAAACAGAGACACAGCGAAAAAGAGTGTTCTAGAATTAAAACTCATGTCAAAGAAACTTCAACATATTAACCAGCCATTGGATGGTTAGAAATATACTCGACTGCAAGAGCACAGGAGTCGATCCTATCAGCTTCCTTGTCTGGAATCTCCAGCTTGAACTCCTCTTCTAGAGCCATCACAATTTCCACATTGTCCAAGCTGTCCAAGCCCAGATCTTTCTGAAAATGGACATCGGGAGTCACCTGCAAATCATTGCAGAATGAACAGTGATACCAACAATACTTGTGCTAAGGTATAATTGCTTGAGTAAAGGATTAGTAGAGCTGAGTTTAAATTTTAAATCAATAATAATGACAATAGGTGAAAAAGGGTCAGAGCTGTTTGTGGTTCAAAACCCCTCTCAAACCCTATTTCAGGCCCCATAATAGAGGAGATGAAAAAATGCCCTTTCTGAAGCCTTTCACTGCAACCTTTAGTACATTATTTGCATATCTATCCTCTCTCTATCAGACATCTTTCCTCTCTTCCTCGTCAAACCAGCAACACAACTCACTTCTCCTCCTCTGCACTCACATATGTATAACACTTCCTCCTTCAGTCACCCTCAACAACCCATAATAACAATATACTAACAGATAAATCATGCACAGCAGCACAAGATCAAAGTTTGTTATGTTTTTTTTTTTTTGCTGATGGCTGCTGAAATTTCTCAAAAAAGAATTAGACGGTAAATGCTACAGTTAATCCCCCTTTGAGGAAGGAGGAGACCACAAATTTGTAGTTTGAAACAACACTTCTAGCCTCAGGAAGCTGCATTGTACAAGCTACAGTGTATTAAAACAAACAAAAAGCAAACCACAGCTGATGTCAATTCAACCATATGGTAGTTAAATTTTGAAAAAATAATATGAACATCTAGCTTAATCCATTGCTTCAATGTTCAATGGCATAAAATACAAATCAATGTTGGGTGAGGAGAAGAACACTTCATAAGCAATAAAAATATCATGCTAAGCTTCAATTGTTCCATGTACAGTTAAATTTGGTCTGTAGATGACGTGTATCTCAAAACATAACACAATATTTAACGAATGTATTCGCAAGATTTTTTCACGCTTTAGGTGAGCCAGACAATCACCTTCTTATGATTAAAGGATCATGACTTAAATGATTTCAATGGTGTAAACAAGTTGTTTGGATGGCGAAATTCCTGACCAAATGAATTTAGTACTTACACGGGATAATTTTCCTAACAGCTTCCATTCTAAAGGACCACTATGATAAGATGATCAAACTAAACAACCAATAGCTATTCTATAAAATGGTTAATTGAATTTTAATACAAGTGATGGTGGTAGAAGGAATCAAAACTTCTTTTTGCCTACGTAGGGGAACATCTGTTGACTTATCAGCTGAAAGTCTTTAAAATTCTATAGTGTAGTCCTCAACTCTTCTCACAAGACTCATGTAGTCCACCCCTAATAGACTGGCTTATTTGGAAGCGATAAGCATATGGATTGATTGTTCGATAGAGTCGTACCTATCAAAAGGAAAAAGCTATATATATTTGTCGGGCAGAGAAGACAAGGCTATTGTAGCAGCTATGGAAATTCCTCTTGCCACAGAAGCCCAGATGCCCAAGCGATGTATCCTATCCTCTATCCTAAGCATGATGGACAAGTAACCGTTCAACCTCAAGTGAAAGCTCAACAAATCCGAGAAGTAGGGCGAAGGGCTTTCTAATCTTTAACTGAAAGTAAGGCTTCAATAGTGATATCCTAGAAGCGGTAGCTTAGGGCTTCCCTTTAAAAACACCTTGGAGAGTAGGGGCGAGAGAAATTAAACCATACAATATCATACCAATGCAAATATCAAGGATGATACTTCATCCACGTTTCATCAATCTTTCAAACATGCAATATGCATTGTTATTGTAGAAAGAATTCAATCAATTTCAAATTCATTAAAGTCTGATGGACGTACACCTTTCACCAGTACTTGATGGTGATGGATACAAGGTTGTCCTAATCAAAGATAGTAAGGAGTAGCATAAAAAACATTCATTATATGAACACCTCTCAGCGAGCATCGATAAATTGTCGCAAGCAATCGATCAAAGTGATTCCCTATTTATCATATCCTTGTCTACAACTATGCTATCTGTATCACTGTTGCTAAGGTAAAGGTCGATCGCATCCTGATCCTGCCCATTCCTTTAGTTCGCTCTCAATGGAAATTTCTCAATATAGTAAGACAAAGCCAATGAAAGCTTTCTTTTAAGTGCTAAGGTATGTACAAGTCCAGAATCCGCCTCTTAGCCTACCGGCTTTCAAAAAGCACTTTTAGGTTGAGGTTTTGGATCAACTATCTTACATTTTTTAAGACAAAAGTCTTCTTTATATACACAATTATCAGTTGAACTGCATTAACAGGACAACTGGATTGGCTGTTTTGACTTTGTGTCAAAACGGTTGGAAGATTACTATTCAACTACTATCATTCTAAGCCAATACAAAAGCTCTCAAGTACATAATTCTAAAATACACAAGCTCTAAAAAAGGTCATAACAGCAATAATAACTGCCAAAAAGTCTATATACTCTTAGGAGCACAGAGTTGGAGGTTTAAAATTGGAATTGGATAAAGTTGTCTTCTTCTTTGATAAGCGGAATTTGTTAACATCTAGTTCAAAGATTGAACTACTTTTTCTTCAAAAACAATTCCAGGGCCTTCCAATTCCATTTTACTATACATAGTACAAAGGTAGTTGATTCTTCTGAACAACAAGAATCCGAAATACCTAGATCTTAAACAAATTAAAAAAAAACTTCATTACGAGGGAAAGTGCATCCAATTGATCAAAAATTGACTATTTTCATTAATACGCCAAGAGTAACAAAATCATCCACCATTCAAATTTTCAGTGGTAGCAGACAGATTGCAGCACAGACTAAAATCAAGAACAAGACTCTTACAATCAAATAAGAAACTAAAATAACTAAAGTGTCAATCAAGGGGCATAAATTGCAATATAAATTCAAGGGCTGTAGCGGAAAACTCGGTAAAATCAAACACTACGACTTCAACATGTGCACGTAAGGCTAAGATAGGTCAACATCCACAATCAAATTGATAAAAACACAGAAAATACAGCAATCAAGTATCACCCTTTGTTTGGTTGCACGGAAAATAAAAGAAAGTTGTGGATCTTAAATTTTCTGACGAACCAAACTGAGGTGAATCAAGCTTAATTAGGGAATGAGGGGAGGAACTCCAAATACCTTGGAAGGGTCTACTTTGGGGAAGCTCTTGACAACGTCGAGGACTCTATCGATGACTTCTTTTTTGTCTAGGTGATCGTCACCGTGAGATGACATTGATCGGACGGTGCTGCATAAGCTCAGCTTCGATCCGTTTAGGGTTAGGATTTGAGATACTGGAACCCGAATGTGGCGTAGCATTGCTGTTCTCAGTGCAGAGGCCATCTCTCTCTCTCGCCGCTCTCCTTCTCTCTACCTGGGAGTCGTAGTTTCGTCGGACCGAGGAGGACACATTTGGTACTTGATGAATGGATTCTTGGTAGAATTACACTTTGTACCCCCGAAAGATTTTAGATTCTCAAAGATTATTATACTTTTAATGTATTTTCGTATCTTCGGCACATGATACATTGTTAGTACATAAAAATTAATAAAACATATTAAATATATGTGTGTTTGAATTAAATATTATCTTAAATTTATCAAATTTAATTTTTCATTACTCATATTATATTATAAGATTATAAAAACTTTGTATGTTCACAAATTTTTTTGTTCTAACTATAAAAAAATAGTTAAAGTTCTATTATTTTTTAGAATTTTGTGTTTGAGATTAATTTTTAGTGATATTTCAGAAATTAAATTTTTTTGAAAATTATTTAATTAGAATTTCACTTATAATTCTTTAAATAAAATGGAGTGTATATATAATGAGTTGTGTGTATATATATGTAATGAGTGTGTATATAGTTGGAGTGTGTATATAATGAGTATGTGTATGTATATGCAATGGGTGTGTGTTGGAGTTGGAGTGTGTGTTGTGGAGTGTGTGTTGAGTTTGTGAATTTTGGGAGAGAAAGGGTATGAAATTTGGAGAGAAAATATACCCCCACGAGTTCAAAAATCTAATTATCTTATTATATAGACATACTATAAATTGTTTATATCTAAAGACATTATATAACTTTTAAAAAAAAAAAAAAAAGCTTTAGTCTAAGTCTCATCCAGCTTGGTGTATATTAGTTAACGGTCATCTGATGAGAAATGCAATATAAGATCCAAGAGTAACCTATTCACCTTAATTTTATTGTTTCTTACAATTTTTTACCACAAATTCACCACCTATATACAACACTCAGGTCAAAAATAATTGGTGTAACAAACAAAAATCCGATAGTTGATATAAACCAACTATTATTTCAAAAAAAAAAATTGACAAAGCTTCCTTTACAAATATGATCCCTAAGCAATATTTGATGAGTCTATATTTAATTGGGTCAGGTTCAATAAATCAAGCAAGCCCAAGTCAGCTCCAGCCTGGTTTATCAATTCGACCCAAGTCAAGATTCAAGAAGCCCATGAAGATAAGAGCACGTGGGGGGAGGGATTGTTGGGATACACACCCAATCCCACCTTAATTGTACTTATCTTTTAGAACTATCCTCCCAAAGAAGTAATACCCTCACACTCGCCTCAACTCATTACTATGTCTATAAATTGTAAGTCTTCTCCACATGGAAAGGCATTTGGCGTACCTTGGTATCTTACCACATCTCTCTACACACACACATAGCTTCCCTCTTCTAACTATTGTATCCCTCCCGGAGCTAGTCTCTCCTGAAGCCTTATCTCTCTTACTTTATTTATCAATAAAGACCTATAACTACTACTGTCATTTTCCCGAGAGTGAGATAGGTCACCCGGACCGAGTCACTATATATCTATGAGTTTCCTTATATTTATTGTTTTACAATTGGTTACCTTATTATAGTCCATTAATTACAGCTCTTCACATATTCGACTGTTTATCTTGCACGAAACCAATTTTGTGTATCATCAATATTAATTTGTGTGTACAACATGCATTGTATGTGAAAATTTTTGTTGAAACATTTGATAAAAATACATAAAAAAAAAAATCCAATTAGATAGCCACATTAGATATTATCTCATATGTGGCATATTTAAATTATTTGTATTCTTTTCATAACTATAAACATCTAATAGATTCATTTTTTGTGATTCTTTCATTGGAGCTACCAAGTAGTAAGGGTTATAAATTTTTCTTTTCTCGATTTTTTTTCTTTTTGTCTTTCTTATTTTTACTTTGTGCATCAATAAGTTTTTACCAAATTATTTTGATTGTAAGATAAATATATCTGTTTTTGGGCATTAGAAAAAATATTATATCAATATAATTGTCAATGTGTATTACTATTGCGGTTTTGAGAAAAATGAATAATATTGCTTTTATATATCATGTTAAGCATAACATGACCATTCAAAAATTTTACAAAGATAGAGAGATTTGCATGATATATTAGAGATTAGTTTGTTATTTAAATATATAGGAATATAATGATAATTTACATATTTAAATACAAAATGACATATTATCCTTTATAAGGGTAAAATTGTGAATCAAAAAATTTTCATATATAGGGAAAAACACTACTTTGCATAATCTCATCACGTCAAGTTAGTACTAGTATTTATCAACTATTGCAATATGATATTCAAAGCAACTGAATATGAATCCCAATGGAGCATAAACCTTAATAAATAGAAAAACTCGTGCTTGAAGGCACTTGTTAAATAAAACTCACCAATTAAATCACTATTTTTCCATTGAATGACATCATGCCTTCAACATTCAAGGCATGCATTCAAGATTCTTAACCATTCACATGCACGAATAAGCAAATATTTAGTGAAAAATTGTAGTTATATCAATGCATCTCACCAAAAAGCAATAAGCCAAGCACAACATTAAAGAAAATTGCTGAGAACTACAATATTCACAAACTACTCAATTTGTTTTCACTAGTAGCCATCACAAAGAAGTACTTGTTCTCTCTTTTTTTTTTTTTTTTGGCAATTTAGAACTACGTGCATAGAAAAAGATAATTCAAAATTTTCATGAAAGTTTTGAACAAATACCATAACAAATATCAGGTAAAACTCACTATATAATTCTAGCAGAGCCAACAAAACCCAAAGCCATAGCCAAATTTAAATTGTTTTTGGAATTCATTGATATGAATAAATGTTTAGTATTAGGGCTTGTAGACCCAATGGACTTCACCTGTAACATATATCTAGCATTAATTTGAAAGATCAAATAAAAATTGAACAAAGTAGTTCCTCTTCTCGTGCAAACTTTAAGACCATAGAAAAACATTTGAAAGACAATAATCTTTAAAAATGAACTCCCTGTTGTCATAAAGAAATTATAGAAACTGCTTAGAAAAATGATGACGCCTTCTAATTCTGTGGTGATAAAAATTGCATAAGTCCCGAATTCAAGAAAAAAATGAATTGCAAAACTTGCAAACTTGAGACAACAAAAGAAAAAATTAGAATGAATTATAGTATTATAGTGAAACTCAAACCAGTATTCGCAAAAATCCAAAACTCAATCAAAATTTAAGCAAGATACTGTTAGCCAAAATGTGTATATATATATATTGAGAAGTTAATAGCTGACTTCGGCGGTTGGGTGTGTGCGTTGGTAGGTGTAGGTAAAGACTGAGAGGGAGGTGTGTGTGTGTGTGAGAGAGAGAGAGAGAGTATGCATAGGGGTGTCAATTTTTGACACGATACGATAATTCGATACAAAACATGATATGAATAAATGAGTTTGAGTTGACTAATTTTTTGACACGACCCGCGTATGACACGATCCGTCAACACGAAATGTTAATGGGTTGTGTTCGGGTTCAACCCTTTTAACACGAATTGACCCGTCAACACGAAATTTTTAATTCGAAAGAGTTTGACCTAACATTTCCGTTGCATGTATGAGTTTTCATGACTTGTTTTTTCTATTACTTTTGATGTTTAATTTGGTTGTATGATGTACGATTAACATATTTAATTAGTATTATATAAATAAAATATTAATTATTTGTAACTGTTTATCAAACATTGACATAATTATTGTATAAAAAAAATATTATTACTTATTATTGTTGTTATTATTATTATTAAGTTAATTTTTAATTTATAGAAAACGTACGATGAGAGATTCAATTAAGTAAAAATAAAATCTTAGTGTTAAATTTTTTATTCAAAATTTATGTAGGTTAACACGAATATGAACACGAACACGACACGAAAATAAACAGATCAACTAGACACGACACAAATAGTTAAATGGGTTGGGTATGAGTTGACTAATGTTCAACACGACTAATATTCGACACGACACAAACCCGACACAACACAACTCGATTGCCACCCCTAGCGACAGAGAGAAAGGGAGAGAGGTATCGAGGAAGGGAAAGAGAGAGAGAGGTGTTGGGTGAGGTATCGGATAGTATAAGATATGAAGAGATAATTAAATGAGAGATAAGAGTCTTAGAGTTAGAAAGAGAGAAGTGTATCAGTTAGTGTGAGATGAGGATAGAGAGTTAGACGAGAGATAGGAATCTTAAAAAAATTTCGTATGAGGACCGTTAGATCAATAATCTCTTCAAATGATCTGAACCACAAAAAACTCAAGATAAATAATTTAACTATTTTATTATATAGTTATATTGTCATTCTTCTTCACTCTTTCGAAAATCTTGTCGTTCTCTTGCTCTTTTACGAAAAAATGATTTTAATGAATAAGATAAAATCGATTTAACTCAATTACAACTTAATTTGAACAAACGTAAATGATTGATGAAGATAGATTCGGTTGGTTAAAAAAAACTTCAATCGCTAAGAACACGTAATAGGAAAAAAAAAAAACAATAAGAAATGTGAAGATTTTTTTTGGTTCGAAAAAACGTTAATGTCTAAAGAACACAAATAATAATAAGGGAAAATTTCATCAACACCCCCTCTAAATAGATCTATCTTGAAAGACACCCATTGTCTTTTCTAAAATTTCATTGACCTCCCTTCTCAGTGTTGGTCGGCTAACAGACGTGACGGAAATAGACGTTTTACCATTTTACCTATAAATTTTATAAAGAATTACATATTCACCAATTATTTTTCATTAAACTATATATAAATATATATTCATAATTCCAAGTGTTATGTGCAGTATTATTAAACTATATATAAATATTATATAGTTTAGGTGTACGGTGTCATCGATTTTTTTTAAAAAAAATGATTTTGAATTTTTTTTTCTTGTATGATGTCACCGATTTTTTTTTTTAAAAATTAAAAAAAAAATTATTTTGAATTTTTTCCTTATATTATGTTTAAGTGTACGATGTCACTGGTTT